GTGTGTGTGTGTGTGTGTGTGTGTGTGTGTGTGTGTGTGTGTGTGCGCGCACGCTGGGAACTGAGCACCACGTCTGCCGGGAAGACCCAAGAGTGGAAACAGCTTCCCTGTTCCATGGAGTCCTCTGGCTGCTGGAAACTGGTGTGAAGGATCCCTCCCCCCACCCTTTACCATGTCTCTGCTGGGGGAAGCCATGAGAGGGAGCCACATTGACAAAATCATTGGGATTTATTTTTTGTTTATTTTTCAGACAAAGTAACTGTGTAGCCCTGGTTAGCCTGGAACTCACTGTGTAGACCAGGGTGGCTTTGAACTCACATCTACCTGCCTCTGCATCCTTAGTGGTAGGATTAAAGGTGTGTGCCACCATCATTCAAATGCTTTGTTTGTCACCCAGAGACCAGAGGTATAGTTCAGTTGTAGAGCCTGTGCTAAGTTAAGTACAGAGCCTGGATTCAGTCCCCAATTCAAAAATAGAAAAATAAAAAACCAAAACCATTATTCACCTTGAAGATAGAGACTTACGAATTATAGAGAAAAGCTGGTACTTAAGAATTATACAGAAAAGTTAGGTGAGATACTTGAGAACTGGCTCAGCATTTCAGAATGGACACTGCAGCCGGGCGGTGGTGGTGCACGCCTTTAATCCCAGCACTCGGGAGGCAGAGCCAGGTGGATCTCTGTGAGTTCAGGGCCAGCCTGGTCTACAGAGTGTTCCAGGAAAGGCACCAAAACTACACAGAGAAACCCTTTCTCAAAAAAACAAAACAAAAGAATGGATACTGCTCTTGCAGAGGACCTGAGTTTGGTTCCCAGTACCCATGTTGGGTAGCTCACAACCTCCTGTAACTCCGGCTCCAGGGGATCCAATACCTCTGGCCTCTGAAGGAACTTACACTCATGTGCACATACCTCCACACAGATATAAACACACATACATTATTAAAAATAATCTTATAAGAAAGACTTAATGAAAGAGATAAATAATGATTTTTCTTTAATATAATGAACTTCTTGAGAACCCAAACTAAAAAGTGTGTTTTCTTGGGTGTGGTGACTTACACTTATAACCATAGCATTTAAGAGGCTAAGGCAGGAATATTACATTAGTTGGAATATAGCCTAAGCTGCCAATTAGCTCAAAAACCAAAAATGGGACTGGAGAGATGGAGGGAGGGAGGGAGAGGGGTGAGGGAGGAAGGGGGTATAGTGTAGGAGTGTGGGAGTGTTAGCTACATGAAACAACAAAACAAGCAAGGCTGGGAGGAAACTTACAGATGACTCCAGTCCAGCTACTAAGGGGGGGGGGGGGAATGAGCTGAACTTGGGAGTCTGAGAGCAGCCTGACAACATAGTAAGACCCTCTCTCAGAACAATGTTGAACAGATTAGAGGTCTATTAATATAAGAACTTTCATGTTTTAAATCAGACGACTGCCCCAGAACAGACAATTACATTTTTAGAAACTTTCACTTTTGGGGCAATGGTGGCACACACCTTTAATCCCAGTATACAGAGGCAGAGGCAGGCAGATCTCTGTGAGTTCAAGGCCAGCCTGGTTTACAGAGAGAGTTCTAGGACAGCCAGTACTATTACACAAAGAAACCCTTTCTTAAAAAACAAAATAAAATAATAAGGGTGCTGGAGAGATGGCTCAGTGATTAAGAGCACTGGCTGCTCTTCCAAAGGACCTAGGTTCAATTCCAAGTGCCCACCTGGCAGCTTACAACTGCCTGTAACTCCAGTTCCAGGGGATCCAATACCCTCATACAGACAAATTTGCACATAAAGTAAAAAAATAAACTCTCACTAAATGAGGAAGGTGTAGAGGGCTGATGGAAGAGAGAAGGTATTCTTTTTTTTTTTAAATAATTTATTTTTAATTTTATTTGAATTGGTGCTTTTGCCTGCATGTATATCTATGTGAATGTGTCAGATCTTGGAGTTACAGACAGTTGTGAGCTGCCATGTGGGTGCTGGGAATTGAACCTGTGTCCTCTGGAAGAGCAGTCAGTGCTCTTAACTGCTGAGCCATCTCTCCAGCCCCGAGAAGGTATTCTTTATCTGTCTCATTCCATTTTGCTGAAAGTATCTTTAAATGTCTTATGTTATTCCTTCCTCTGTGTTTGGCTGGATTATTTGAAGCCAACTGGGCAGCTGGGAGTTGTATTCTCACCCTTTTGCCTGGCTCACATGAGCTGTGCCTTTGTGTTTCAACATTTTTTCCCTGTGTAAAGGTGCTCTGGCCAACAAAGTGAAGAGGAAAGACACATTGGCAATGAAGCTAAGCAGCAGACCCAGTGAACCAGAGTTGAACCTGAATTCTTGGCCTCGTAAAAGCAAGGAGGAGTGGAATGAAATCCGGCACCAGATTGGGAACACGCTGATCCGGTAGGCCTTTGCATTTGGGTTTGTAAAGCACTCGTCTGTCTTTTAAAGGAATAATTCTAACAATGTATGTTAGACAGGTGGAGTTTCTCTAAGCTTTAGGAGGTCGGGAATGTCAGAGATGGCACTGGGAGCTTTGAGCCATCATCACATAAGACTGAAGGTTTTGCAAAGGTTGCTAAAGAAGTCAGGCTGGTTCCCAGGACACGCAGATTCCTGTGTGACTTTATCCTCTTGCTGAACCATGAAATGCCAACCTAACTCATCACACCTGTATTTTTTTTTAATAAGTAAGTACCATGTAGCTATTTCTTTTCAAAAAGTTAGTATATTTTTCAAGTCAGCTGGAATCAAGGAGGGAAGTGAAATGCAGGCCAGCCTCTTGTTTATGTAACGAGCATATTTGTGTATAGATAGGTGTTTGCATGGCACAGCTACTTCTCCCCCTCTAAAAGGGATAACAGGTAGAAAAGCTCTCGGCCTTCTCCCTACAAGAAAAATTAACTGAGAGTGTCCATTAACTAAGGTCCAGCCCTCTTACCTATCATAGACAGCTAGCTTTCCTTGTACATAGTCCGTGTATGCTGCATCTAGAAACAAGACTGGCAGGGCTGAAGAGATGGCCTAGTGGTTAAGAGCACTGACTGCTCTTCCAGAGGACCCAGGTTCAATTCCCAGCACCCACATGGCAGCTCACAACTATAACTCCGGTTCCAGGGGACCCTCACACAGGCAAAACAACAATGCACAATAGATAAATAAATTTAAAAAAAAGAAAAGAAACAAGGCTGGCCTTTTGTCTACTCTGGCATTGAGGTGCTGAAGCCTTTATCTCATACTATGTATCATTTACTTTAGAGGGGAGATACCCATTTCAAACAAGAAGAATTGTGAGAAAATACCCTTTACCTAGATATACTCATGTGTGCTTGTTTGTGTTAATGATTATTATGTACACTGCCAGTATGCACATACTGTTTTTTTCTGGACCCTTTCAGAATACAGTATAAGCTGGATGTGATGTCTCTCACATGTAATTTCAGCACTTGGGAGACTGAAGCTAGGATATTTCTGGTTCCAAGCTAACCTGGGCCATATAATGAGACTCAAATATTCATGATCTTTGTTTTGTTTTGTTTAGACAGGTTCTCTCATTGTATCTCAGGCTGACCTCAAATTCTCTAGGTAACCCCGGCTGTCCTTGAACTTCAGAATCCTCCTAACTCAACCAAGTGCTAGGATTACAGGTATATGCACACTAACACATGCAGTTGATTTTTGTTTTTTAAGACAAGATCTCATGATATAGCTTTGACTAGTCTTGAACTCACAGAGATCCCCCTGCCTCTGATGAGTACTGGAGTTAAAGGTGTGCACCACCATACCAGGTGACTCTACTTCTAAGTACTTCAGCACAGTCTTCTGTGAAGGACATTCTCTTATCCCCACAGCATACTACCAGTTTTTCAACAAAACTAGTATTCAGTGTAGTATTTTCATCTAATATACTATCCATACTCATTTGTACTTATTTATATGTATTTCTTTATTTTTGAAGCAGGGTCTCATGTAGTCAAAGCTAGTCTCAAATTCATGTACCTGAGGATGGCTTTGAAGTCCTCATCTCCTGCCTCCACCTCCCAAGTGTTAGAATTATTGGTGTACTACTTTATTCCATCGGTTTTTGTTTTGTTTTGTTTTTCCAAACAGTGTTTCTCTGTGTAGCCCTGGCTCTCCTGGATCTCACTCTGTAGACCAGGCTGGCCTAAACTCAGAGATCCACCTGCCTCTGCCTCAGAGTCCTGGGATTAAAGGTGTGCGCCCCCACTGCCCAGCTAACCCATAATAATTTTAATAGTAGGGTTTTATACTCCCAAGTCTAATTTCCAGTCTGAGGTAATGTGTGATATCTAGTTTCCCTGTCTCTTCAGTGTGCTTTGATCTGAAAATTGTTCTTAGCCACTTTATTCTAAAGGTTTAATAATTGTGTGTGCATGTGTGTTTGTATACATGCATGTGCATGCATGAGTGAAGTGCCCTCATGGAATAGAGGGGTGTAGATCTCCTGGAACTGGAGTTACAGACAGTTGTGAGCCACTTTATGTGTGTTTTGAGAATCCAACTTGGGTCCCCTAGAAGAGTAGTATGTGCTTTTAACCACTGAGTCATCTCTCTAGGCCCTCATCATCTTTTTTGTTTTGTTTTGTTTTTTCAAGACAGAGTTTCTCAGTGTAGCTTTGGATCCTGTCCTGGATGTCACTCTGTAGACCAGGCTGGCCTTGAACTCACAGAGATCCGCCTGCCTCTGCCTCCCCAGTGCTGGGATTAAACACATGTGCTACCACCTCTTGACCAACATTTTTTTTTTTTAATCTTAACAATTTTCCTGTTACCATATAGTTTTTTATTTATTTTGAGACAAGGTCTTACTATGTAGCCCGGGCTCTCCTAGAACTATGTAGACCAGGCTGGTCTCAAACTTTCAAGGGTCCACTTGCCTCTGCTTCCCTGAGTGCTAAGATTTAAGACTCATACCACCACCAGCAACCAAATAAATAGTCTTTGTTCTTATTACTAATGATCACTGTATGCTACTCCACTGAACTGATACAATTAATTGAGTCATAACCTTGGTAGTTGGTGTACCCCTGATTTTTCATTCTTCTAATTAATTCTAGTCAGTGGTTCTCACACTTAAGCATTCATTTGGCAGGCTTAACTTACCTGGCAAGCTTGTTTAAAAAGCAAACTGTCGAGTTCCGCCCAGAGTTTTTGCTCCAGGGTGGGGCCTGGTTTGTGTGTCGTGTTCGTACTGCTGATCCTGGGGCCACTCTGAAAGCCAGGACTCTGTTAGTTTCCACCCGGGTTGTCACTGCAAAGGTTTGGGGATTATAGTGTAAATTCTTTCGTGGTTGTTTTGTGAAAGTTTCATGCTGTGGCCTAAACTGGCCTTGCACCTATGGCAGCCTTCCTGCCTCAGCCTCCTGTGTGCTGGGACTCGAGGTCTTAGTGACTGCTCAGCAGTGCAGCGCCTTCCTCCCGCCCTCTTCCAGGAAATTATGTAGACTAGTCAGTCTGTTCGTGGTCACGGTGTGGCCTGCCTTTCCTCGTCAGCAGCTGCCCCTCCTGCATCTGTCCATGGAGAGGACAGTGCGATCTTTGCCTTTCCCCCGGTGTTGCAGCCAGATGGGGTAATGCACGCATGGGATCCCAGCATTCAGGAGGCTGAGGCAAGATGGTTGCCACAAGTTTCAGACCACACTGATGTACAGTGGGAAACCCTGTTTCCAAAAAATAAAATAACACACACATATATATATGTCCATCAGGTATGTGTGTGTGTGTGTATGCTTTTTTCTTTTCTTTTTTTTCTTTTTTTATTTTTTGAGACAGGGTTTCTCTGTGTAGCTTTGGTGCCTGTCCTGGAGCTTGCTCTGTAGACTAGGCTGGCCTCGAACTCACAGATATTCGCCTGGCTCTGCCTCCCAAGTGCTGGGATTAAAGGCATGTACCACCACTCGGCAATCAGGTATATTTTAAAAACATTCAGCATGGCCAGTTGTGGTGTGCACCTTTAATCCCATTACTGGGAGGCAGAGGCAAGTAGATCTTTGAGTTTGAGGCTAGCCTGCTCTACATAGTAAATTCTAGGACAGTCAGGTATACAGTGAGACCCTGTCTCAAAACAAAATATGTTCGACATCACTAATAATCAGAGAGACAGAAACCAGAACCACCAGAGACATCAGTTCACACATAGGGATAATGAACACCTTTGTTTGTTTGTTTAAAGATTTATTTATTTATTATGTATACAGTGTTCTGTTTGTATGTATGTCTGCACACCAGAAGAGGGCACCAGATCTCATTATAGATGGTTGTGAGCCACCATGTGGTTGCTGGGAATTGAACTCGGGATCTATGGAAGAGCAGTCAGTGCTCTTAACCACTGAGCCATCTCTACAGCCCCTGTTTGTTTGTTTTTTGAGACAGAATTTTTTTGTTTTTGCCCTTGCCATCCTGGAACTCACTCTGTAGACCAGGCTGGCCTCGAAGTCACAGAGATCCAATTGCCTCTGCCTCCTTGAGTGCTGGGATTAAAGACCATCATGCCTAGCAAGGATTCTTTTTGTTTGTTTGTTTTAAAGTTCTTTTTCCTTTTTTAAAAATGTGTATGAGTGTTTTGGCTGTATGTAAGCACATGTGTGCAATGCCCAAGAAATTCAGAAGACAGCATCAGATCCCCTGGAACTGGGGTTCCGGTCGGTTGTGAGCTGCCACGTCAGTGCTTGGAACCAAACCCAGGTTCTCTGGTAGAACAGCAGTGTTTCTAACTGCCAGGCCCCTCCACACTTGCCCACCTTTCTGTCTTGAGGCAGATCTAGTTCCCCCCGGGCATCTACCCTCAGGTGCTGGCCTCCCAGGTGTGAGCCACCACGGTCAGCACAGTAGTGTGTGTACAGCAGTGTGTGCACAGCAGTGTGTGTACAGCAGTGTGTGTACAGCAGTGTATATAGTAGCACTCTCCATGTCAAATTGCTTCTTGATAAGCAAATACTCTACTGGAGTATATGTTAGAGATTTTACTGATTTCTTTGTTATAGGTCAATATAAATCTTGGCCCAAGAAACTCCCCAAATCCTTAGAAACAGTGATTGGAGCTTTGCCACAGACAGTTAAGTACCCTGTGTCTCTCTGTTGTAGGCGACTGAGCCAAAGACCGACAGCAGAAGAACTGGAGCAACGGAATATACTGCAGCGTGAGTTCAATGTGCATAAGGCCAGGAGTGTTTGCTAAAGGGCCACGGAGAGTTATTAGTTCCTGCTCTGGAAGCCCAGCTTCCTAGAAAGATGTCTCCATGGTATTGTTCAGTGTACGATAATACGCCAGAAATTTTTTTCGAATGTTTTCATAGCATCCTGGGTCAATGTTGGCATTTGTGATAATGTGACTGTGTGTGCAGGTTTGGCCTATGCATTCTTTGTTCAGGGAGCTAAGGTAATGGCTGAGCTGATGTACAGGACATATCTGTTCCTGGTGGATTCTAAGGATAGGGCCCAAAACAATCCCCTGATCCATGGTTTTCATTCTGCATTTATCTCTTGACTTGTATTTCTGCAGCCACCAAATAGGAGAGCGTATCTAACTTACTGTCCATGTGCATAGTTTGAACAATGTTCTCATCTTAGACTGACTTTAGTCTTAGGTTTTGAGTTAGAACCTGAGCTGTGGCGCTCCTCCCCTTCCTCTCCTGGGTCTGGAGCTCCTGAGGACAGATGGAAGTCCCACCTCCCACTCCCATCTTGTCCCTGCTTGTATCCATCCCAGGTCAAATCACCAGAAATAGGCCAGCTAGGTGCTTCCACTCCAGGGCTCCCTTCTGTCTTCCCACCCTAAGCTCTCAGCACACCCTTCCCCGAAGGCCTTCTGTGTCCTTGTTCCTTGGAAGTACCCACCGCAGTGAAGACCCTGAGCTGAGCCCCTAGGACAAGGACCAGCCATGTCCTGGGATACCTGTGTCCTTGGGTCTCAAATCCCGTCCCTCTGGCTCTGCCGGCAGTCCTGTTTGCCCCTTGGAGAGTGATCTCTTCTGGACAGCTCTTATCTATTTCATCCCTGTGGACATGGATGTGGAGGGTACAGGGTGAAGAGGAGAGAGACACAAAGGAGGACAGGGTGCAGTGAAGAGGGATGGGAGTGTCTGTGAGAGTGGAGACACACAGTCGATTCTCTGGAGCAAGAAGGGGTGGGGTGAAGGAAAGCGGTCCTATTTCAGCAGAGGAGTGGCAGGGTCTCCGGAAGCTGCTTCAGCATGCCGTCTGATCATTCCATCACCTGCTTTCTCAGTGCTGTTTGGATCTATATTCACAGTTTAGTCACTCAGTGAGTTTAGAATTGAGAAGCTTTGTAGAAACCACCCTTGACGGGGTGCATTATCAATTAACTATTCTTAGGATGACTCTGGAAATTTTTTCTTTTCTTTTTTAAAAAAAGATTTATTACTGTTTTTAATTGCATATATGTGTGTGCATGCACATGAGTGCAGGTGTCCACTGAGGCCAGAGGCATCAGACCTCCCTAGAGCCAGAGTCACAGGCAGTTGTGAGCCAGCCAGTAGTGTGCTGGGAACTAAACTTGGGTCCTCTGCAAGAGCAGTATGCATTTACTTTGTATATATAATTTATTTTATTTCTCTGTGTTTTGTCTGCATCTATGTCTGTGCAGCATATGGGTGCCTGGTGCCCTCAGAGGCCAGAGGAGGGCATCAGATCCTCTGGAACTGGAGTTACAGATGGTTTTGAGCCTGGGAACCAAACCTGGATCCTCTAGAAAAGCAGCCAGTGCTCTTAATCACTGGGCCATCTCTGCAGCCCCTAGAAACTTTTTTCCCCAAGAAAAGTATTTGTCTATTTTACTATATATGTGCACATGTGTTGTGTGTGCCGTGTTTGAGGTGGGTGATGGTAGAGGCCAGAAGAGGGAGTGGAATTCCCCCACCCCAGCTGAAGTTACAGGCAGTGTGAGCCTCCACTGTGGTTGCTGGGAATTGAACTCAGGTCCTCTAGTGCAGCAAGTGTACTGAACTGTCTCCTGAAAACTTCCTCTTCAAGAGCACTATAGTCAGTATTAAAAATATTTTCAGCTCTCTAGATCATTAAGCACATGGAAATGTTTAGGTAGCTAAAAGATGCTTAAAAATGTGAAAAACTGCCTGGTGGTTGTGGCTCACACCTTTAATCCCAAGCACTCAGGAGACAGACATGTGGATCTCTGTGAGTTTGAGGCCAGCCTGGTCTATAGAGCTACTTTAGAACAGTCAGGACTGCTACACGGAGAAAGCCTGTCTTAAAAAAAAAAAAGTGAAAAATATCCTTGGCTCAAGTCTGATGCCCTAGTTTTCTGTCTCTAAGTACTTGACTATACAGTGGACAGGAAAGACTGCCTTACTAGGAAAGGGTTCTTGATTAGCCATTCACAAATGGAGTATTTCGGTCTTGCTTTGACCTCTAAGAAATATATGTATTATATTACTAAAATGTTTGCTGTGCAGATTGTCATTTTGAAGTAATATCCTTTGTTTCTATGAACTGAAGCTAAAAACGAAGCTGATCGCCAAGCAGAGAAACGAGAGATTAAGCGTCGACTCACTAGAAAGGTACGGTGGTGTCCTTGTATTTGGGTGACCTGTGTGATTGGAGTCAATGAGTTGGACTCATGCCTTAGATCGCTAGGAAAATAAGCACATCTATATAGAACCCCCCACCATATTGGCAGGAGTGCATCTCTTGGTTGGGTTGTAATATTTGAGAGAGGTTGGCACGTGGTACATTTAAACCAGGAACTCTGAATGTGGTGGGAGGTTTCTTGTTTTCCTGGAGGGTTCTGTTTGCTTGGGTTTGGGGGGAGGGGCTGGGGATCAAAAGAAGGTCTTTGTGCATTCTAGACAACTATTCTACTAGTGAGCCCTTTTAGACTAAAAATTTTATTGATATATAGAAGCAATAATAGGAGAATTTGTAGCATTCCATTTTGCAAACAGACTGGTTGTTTTCAAATCAAGAAAGTAATTGAAATAATCCTGAGACCTGGGAAATAAGAAGAGACGTGATTTTCTCCCTGGTCTGGGTCAGTCAGGATAAGACTTTTCTGCAGTGGGCCCATGTTGGCACTGGAGTCGTCTCTTTTCTTTTCCGTTCCCCATTACATTTATAGTTGCCTCCTGCAGATTCTGATGTGTTCTTAGCTCTCTAGAGGCTTACCAAAAGTCGTAAGACTCGCCAGGCAAACGCCATAGCACCTTTGGGCCTAGCACCTGGGAGACAGAGGCAGGAGGATCTCTTAGTCGAGGCTAGCCTGGTCCACAGATTGAGCTCCAGGACAGCCAGGGCAACACAGAGAAACCCTGTCGCGAAAAACAGAACAAGAAATCCCAGAACAGTGAAAGTATGGATATTCTTTCTGGAATTATTCTATCGCTCTCCAGGAATGGAGGAATTATCCTTGCTGATTAGAGGCCATTCCCAGTCCTACTGCCTTTTAACATTTAAGGTGACCTAATTGTATAGCCTTAAATGTAATTTCCCGGGCTAGAGAGACGGCTCAGAGGTTAAGAGCACTGCTTGCTCTTCCAAAAGTCCTGAGTTCAATTCCCAGCAATCACATGGTGGCTAATAACCATCTGTAATGAGATCTGGTGCCTTCTAGCATGCAGGGACACATGCATACAGAACACTGTATACATAATAAATAAATAAATCTTAAAAAATAGGTAAATCAGCCAGGCGGTGGTGGCGCACGCCTTTAATCCCAGCACCTCGGGAGGCAGAACCAGGTGGATCTCGGTGAGTTCGAGACCAGCCTGGTCTACAGAGCAAGATCTAGGACAGGCACCAAAACTACACAAAGAAACCCTGTCTTGAAAAAAAAACAAAAAAAAGTAAATCTTTGGGGGAAAAAAAGGGGGGAGGATGAAGGGCATTGAAGAACCTCCATATGAGGTTTGCTTTCATTTCTGGCAGATTTAGCCACTGGGCAAAGAAACTGCCTTTTCCTCAGCTACTAACAGTATGCTGTCCAAACTGGACAAGTGGGACACAAAAGAAGGTGACTGCCAAATGGGATCTGATGCCCTCTGCTGGTGTGCAGGCATACATGCAGATGGAGTATTCATGCACTTCAGATAAATAAATAAATCTTTAGGGGAAAAAGTCATAATTTCCACAGAATCTGCTATTTTGGTAGCATTGACCAGGTATTTCCTGGGAACGTCTCAGAGCCATGTAACCTCAGGTTCTATTCTAGACCCATCTATAATCAGAATCCACTTTTTCTTGAGGCAGGGAGGTGGGAGGGGGCCAGTGCTGGGGCTGGACCAAGGGTGTCATGGATGCTAAACATGTGCTTTGCACTGAGCTCTAGCCTCAGACAGCAGCCTCTGCATTGTAACCAGATCTTCAGGCACTAGGAGCACACATTAAAGTTTGCAGAACATGGGGCATGGCAATCGTTCTGTACAATGATGTGAATTAAAATAAAAAACCAAACTCTTACAGTTTTTATACATTTTTACCTATTTTGCGTGTATGGAGTATTGCATGTTATGGCATGCATGTGGAAGTCAGAGGACAACTTGTGGGCCTGAGCTCTCTCTCTCTCTCTCTCCACTGTGAGTCCCAGGGATTAACCGCAGTTCATCAGACTTGGTGACAAGTGCTCTCACCCATTACCCACCAAGCCACCTTGCCAGTCCAGAATGAAACTCCTGATACCCAGAATCCTCGGAGAGCTTTGGGAGGATGGGACCCAGGCGGGTATAGTTAAAGCTTCCCAGGTAGTCTGGGTATGGTTGCTCATTCCTATAATTCTGGCACGAAGGTGGCTGAGTCAGCAGGAAAATTACTGCGGGTTTCAGGCTAGCCTGAGCTACAGAGTAAGACCTTATCTCAAAAGAAAAAAACACTGCTGACGGTGGCGCTCGCCTCTAATCCCAGCACTCGGGAGGCAGAGGCAGGAGGATCTCTGTGAGTTTGAGGCCAGCCTGGGCTACAGAGTGAGTTCCAGGATGGCTAGAACTACACAGAGAAATCCTATCTCAAAAAACAATAAATAAATAAATAAATAAATAAATAAATAAATAAATAAATAAATAAATAAATAAATAAATAAAATAAATAAAAGAAAGCAAGCTCCCCATGTAGCTCCAGTGTCCAGTGATGGTAAAGCAACTGGAATGCGTGATGGCCTCTGTTTCTTTCAGCTCAGTCAAAGGCCAACTGTGGCTGAACTACTTGCCAGGAAGATTCTGAGGTTTAATGAGTATGTGGAGGTAACAGATGCTCAGGATTATGACCGGCGAGCAGATAAACCTTGGACCAAACTGACTCCTGCTGACAAGGTAAATCAAAAATGCTCTCATAGTCTCTTTGATTTTCCTTCTTACTCTTCTCTTTTCTATTATTATTTTATTTTGAAACACACTTAGGGTTTTTTGGTTTGTTTGTTTTTTTCTTCTCGAGACAGGGTTTCTCTGTGTAGTTTTGGTGCCTGTCCTGGATCTCACTCTGTAGACCAGGCTGGCCTCGAACTCACAAAGATCTGCCTGGTTCTGCCTCCTGAGTGCTGGGATTAAAGGCGTTTGCTACCACCACCATCCAGCTTAGGGTTTATTAAGAGAGATTTTAAACAGATTTAAGCATGGAGGTAACAGAAAGAGGCACTTGGCAGAGCACAGCATACGCCCCAGTGTGGGCATCTTCAGAGTCCATGCTCTGCTCTTCTTTCTCTGAAGGATACAAGTTACTAATGAGAGAGTAAGCCGGCAGCAAAGCTTCTAGTTTGATAGGATGCTAAATTTCAAAGCAAGGTACAAAATGCCAAGATGTAAACCCCAGTCTTATATTAATCATTGAGAAAACAGCTGTATTGCCAGGCAGCACACACCTTTGATCCCAGCCCTCAGAAGGCAGGGGCAGGTGGATCTCTGTGGGTTGAGGCCAGCCTAGTCCACAGAGTGATTTCCAGGACACCCAGGTCTACACAGAGAAACTGTCTCAAAAAAAAAGAAAGGAAGGAAGGAAGGAAGGAAGGAAGGAAGGAAGGAAGGAAGG